GCCGCGCGGGAAAGGACCCCGCCTCGCTTCCGCCGACGTCATCGCGCAGCGCCCGCAGAGGGTGCCCGCCGCGCTGCCTGCGGAGGCGAGCGCGCCCTCCGCGCGGCGCATGCGCGGCTGCCCCGAGAGAGGCGTCCGGCAGGCGCCATCTTGGCGCCCGGGAAGGGCGCGGAACCGTTGGGGACAACGTTAAGCGTCCCCAAAATGACGTGCAAGGCAACGATTAAGCCAGTTTGCTTTCCCTTAAAGCCAGCTGAGCAGGCGTAGGGCTGAAGCAAGCTGCACACACAAGCTGGCAAAGGCTGGACGCAGGGCACGTGGGGAAACRAAACCCAAAGATAGTGCCCGTTTCAGCGCGGAGCTTCCATCTTCAGCTCTGCTTCCCTTAAAAATTGTGTGTGGGGGAGGCACGGTAAAGGCAACTGATCTAAGAGAGATTTTCCTGCTCCAAGGTTAATGTGTAAGGAATATAAGTGCTTTTCCCGCTGTGGTAGTTGTGGTAGCCACCATGTCTGCGCATCACCGCAGCATGACCCAAAGACCCATCTTACTGAACTGAAGGTTCACAGTTAAACACTGTAATGATTTGCATAACTTCACCCCTTATTCCAACACAAGGGTTTTTTTTTTTTTTTTTTTCCTTCCCCTCAAACAAAACCATTTCACATCAGTCTAAGTTCACATACGGCCTAGGATGGACCCTGGCCCAGGAGGATTTACAGGCAAGGCATTTTAGCATTCAGATATGGCCATACACTGTATGGGAAGGAAAGAGTATCTGAATTCAATTTCTAAAAATGTCAGAACAAAGCTTTACCACTTTAAGAGGAGGCAAAATCATTAAGTTGGCCTATTGCAACTATTTTGTGYAACATTAACAGCTTAGCTCAGTAGAAAATCCCCAAAGGCAAAATTTCCAACACACTGTAGGAAGTCATCTACAATAGAAACCTTTCCACAGAAGGTTGTTCCCTTTCATTGTGTTGCTACTCCGATACAGTTTAGCTGAGGGGAAAACTGACCCTTTATTAATCTCCTTTAATTTAGCTGCCTGTTTGAGGCGCAGCCCTACGTGTTTGTGCAGTTACGCTCATCACAAAGATGAGACAGATCAGGGCCACGGAACCTTCAAAACAAGCAGCACAAAGTCATTCCCGCCATCTCATTCCAGATGGCAGGCATGTGTACAKGTTTAGCAAGGTCAGATTTGATTTATGCTGCACAGCGACAGAACTTGACCTATGTTACACTAGCCCTTGAAGCACAAGTATTAATTCCTTAAAGGTCTTTCTTAATTCCCAGTGACTGGTCTGTTGCAGAAATGCAATCAGGTACTACATCCACATTATGTGCAGCAAAATAAAACCAGTTCTGTTATTCTAAATTTCCCACTACAAGAAAAAAATACCATTTAAAACAGGGCAACTGGTAAGAAAAATATGAAATGAGGAATTCACTTTTTAAACATAGCTACAAACAGACAACCAGATATTAACACATTAGACTTAATATATTTAGCAACTTTATATTTTCCACTTGTAAACTGAAAATTCCTTTTTACAGTTCTCACAGTGCAAAATTAATGTTATGACTACTTCAGTATTAATTTTGAGCTATTCTACCTGAACAATCCCAAAGGAAATAACTCTATTAACCTCTGCTGTGAGATGGAAATGCACTCCTGGAACACAGTATTAAAACCATGCCATCTCTATACCATGATTGGGATATGGATTTCTAAGTTGTACTGTAATATTTTCTGAGAGAAACCAACCACCAAAGAGACACTCCGAAGACRAAAGCCATGGGAAATACTAAGGATGATTATAACTATAGCAGCAACGAAAAAATTATGACAGAACACTCTTGTATTCAAACATTTTATTAAAAATAACCAACATTTTTACATATTTCAGTTAGTCCTGTCAAAAGACTATTTGTTTTTCCCCGTTTTCTTTTTAGTAATACTTCTTAGTCTCTTTGTTTTAGTGTTCTTTTTCTGTGGAGTTGCTTTCTCACCTACAAATGAATCACTGGAGTATCTTTTGGGTTTTGATGGGATATTAGCTCTGTCCTTACGACGGCGAGCCTGATTTGGGTTTTGTTGCTGTGCTTTCCCCTTCTCGACACAGCGCTTCACTCGCACCTTTCTTCCCATTAGATCAGAGTTGTTGAGTTTCAGAGCAAGCTGTACAGCATCTGTATTCTACAAAAAYAGACATGCAGCTTAAAGCTATCATACTCCCAATCACTTGAGTTTCAAATACAGTTGTCCCTTTCTTTTTGCAAGGAGAATTTTACAACAGCACCAGACTGCTTGCTTTATTGCATGACATCTCTGCAACGCTCAGGAACATGATCAAACCTATGTAGCTCAGACCTCGGGCATCCGATGCACAAATACTTGAAAGAGTTTTCAAACAGCCTACACAGAACATCACAGAAAGAGGCAGAGAGATGAAAGAGGAAAAACAGGGGCTGGGAGAATTGTATTTGGCTGGAGAAAAAGCTAGGGAGGATCACACTGRGAGAATATTGAAAGAAAGCACGTTATACTGCATCTGATTCAGGGTGAGCTAATAACTGGCCACCAAAAGATTTCCAGTTATGCAGCAATGGGTGAAAATTACGCCAACTGAATTCATTATCTTTCTCTCCTTTAAATCTCTACTAAAATTTGCTTATTTCACTTCAACGTTTTGCAACTTCTCACAGCCTAAAACAGTTTCTTTGTATCTGCTCCCACAAGGCTGGTCTTCCAAGCTACTTTTCCAAAAAAAATCTACTGTTTATTGCCAAATAGAAAGGCAAAAAATCAACAAGACATAAAGGAAAATCTCAATGCAGATTGTGGAAAACAACCAGTGTCCTGAAACAAGCCATTCACACGTACCTCAAAGAGAATATAGCCAAAGCCTTTGCCCATGCCTGTCTGTCTGTCTCTCACAATTCGCACTGCTACGATATCGCCACAGTCAGCAAAGTGTTCTCGCACAGCTTCGTCGCTGATGTCTGCAGGCAAGAGCAACAAAATAGATGATTCTTCCATCAAAAGTATGACCAAAATCTTTTGCCTTGCCAAACATTTTGTATTTACCCATTACAGATACACAAACATATGTAGTCATTCAGAAAAATGCCATTAAGTCATCAGTGCAGGCTTAATTCTATTTATTTTCACAGTTACTCATTCTCGAAGTTTTGAAGAATACAATAAAACCAAAYCACCAGGGAGAAAAAAGGCACAGACTGAAATGATTTTTTCAAGTTATTTATCATTTCAACAGGGCAGAAATTAAAGCTTCATGCTACATTTTTATAGCTCCTTCTTACACCAGATCCTATTTCTGAGATTAATACTRACAACAGTAAGTCTGAGCAAGAATTTCTTAACTCTATGGCTCAGTAACTGATATGTGAATTTTAGCTGGATGGAGGAGGAGGGCCTTTTTACTTTTTTACTCACAGRTGCTATATTTCTATTCTGATAAAGGCCACATGAGCGAGGCTTTCTCACACTTACACTATCAGAAAGACAAGCATGAGGTACCAGTACCAAAATACAGGTTATTCTCTGTTCTGTTGTAACCTCCACACAGTTACAACCTACTGCCTGCACAGAGTTGCTCACTCTGTGGCTCAAAATCAGAAGCTGCCACTGTGTGTCACGAGGAAGTGGTTCACACACAAATGGCAATGTCTGTTTGACAGGTGAGAAAAATCTATAACCTAAGCAGTTTAGTCACAATTATTAAAAAAAAAATTATCAAGCAAAAACAAGAACTGAAAATATGCKTGAATAATAACACAAGAAAACAATTCAGCTGCAGAATTTGTCAGAAACTTACAACTACTTCAGGTGTTTCGGTTTAAAATTAGATGAGCTATTTTAAAATTTAATTCCTACAATTCCTGATATCAAAGATGTTTAGTTACCTAAACATGTTCTATAAATAAGAGATTAAAAAAATCTCTAATGTCAACCTATTCAAAAGTGAATATGGTACATGTTCATGGTACATTTTAGACTTACCATATGAAAGATTCCCCAAGAATATAGACCGCTTATTGTCATGCTAAACAAAATAAAGAAGAAAAACAAAACAGTAAGTTATTTGTTACAGAAAAAATAGTCTTTTTCAAGTGAGGTATGTTACTTACTGAACTGTTTTGTGATGCAAGGTCAACTCTAATATGAAATCCACTAGCAATTTGTGTTCCATTCCTTTTGTAGCAAAAAAAAAAAAAAGTAAAAAGGATGTTGATAAAGAATAGAATACAATGAATAAATAGTACTTCATTTACAAAGTCATTGTGTAGTATTATTCCACAAGCAAATTTATGTTTAAGTTCAAAGAAATGTTTTTACTCTGACTCAAGAAAAAAGAAAAAAGGGCAGTTTAAACTATCCTTTTAACACATATGTAAATCCACTTGTTCACCTGAGGTCAAGGAATAAAACCCAAACTTACTTTTTTAGAGCCTTAACGGCATCACATTCTTCCTTAAAAACAACATAAGCATTGATGTACTTCATGTTAGGGTGTACTTTACGCCTGGAAGACAGGGAAAAGATGCTTATTGTTAAAATAATTCCCATACAATGCATGCACAATGCACATAAACTTCTTATTAAACACATTTATGTCTCCTACTTTTCAGACACAGTAACAATTTCACTTCCCTAAAAGGCAGAATTAGTCTCCCATATCCAACAGTTTTACTGTACACCTTATGCTGTCTATATATGCACCTCGATCAAGTTTCTCCAGCCCCTATGCACAACCAAAGGTATTCAAGAATTTTTAGCACTTTCTTTCTCTTTCCTAAAATGCCATAGACGTAACTTACATATCTAATTACTTACTACTATAATAGACATTATTCTTTTTTTCCTGTCATGAAAAAAAATACCTACACACAAAAAAAAAAAAATTACAAAAGTAAAAAAAAATAAAT